GCCTGGCCAGACCACAACCTTTGATTTTTCCCCAATCCTTCTGTCAGGCCTGTTGCTTTGGGGTTGGAAGTTTAGAATAGCGCTGTTCAATAGAATCGAGCAAGCCACATGTGCTGTTTTGTAATTTTCTATGAGCCACCTAAAAAAGGTTAAAATGAACAGATGAAATTAATTTGAATATTTTATCCAATGGATCCAAAATAGTATCACTTTAATACAGTATATTCATATAAAATCATTAGAGATCTTTTGCATTTTCAGGTATTAAGTCATCAAAATCCAGTGTACGTTTTATATGTACAGCTTGAACTTGCTGCCTTTCAAGTGCTTGATGGCCACTTACGGCTGGGCTATGTACTGGACAGTGAAGATCTAGAAGATTTGGCACCACTCTCGGCCCCAGGTTCTGCAAGCTGGGAGCTATGAGAAGGAGTTTTCTTTATCATTTGAGTTTCTCTGCCATGGACTCTGCTTCTTTCAGCTCATCAAAACTGTTTTTTGTTTATTTTGAGATAGTCTCGCTCTGTTGCCCAGGCTGGAGTGCAGTGGTGCAATCTCAGCTCACTGCAACTTCTGCCTCCTGGGCTCAAACAATTTTCGTGCCTCAGCCTCCCGAGTAGCTGGGACTACAGGTGCATGCCACCATGCCTGGCTAATTTTTGACATTTTTAGTAGAGATGGGGTTTCACCATGTTAGCCAGGCTTGTCTCAAACTCCTGACCTCAAGTGATCTGCCTGCCTCAGCCTCCCGAAGTGCTAAGATTATAGGTGTGAGCCGTCACTCCTGGCTCTATCAAAACCTTTTACTGACCTCAGTCATCATCAGAAACCAGGCTGTCCTCAGCCTGTCTCCTGAGCGTCGAATGTTGAGGCATTGGGGTTCATAGGCATGGGTCACTTAGGGGGTGGACTCTGCTGAAGGCCTAGTTTCTACCTCCACCTGTTTGCCTGCAGGTGTGTAGCTACTGTGGGGAGTGTCGCAGGAGAGTTCCAGGTGGAAGAGTCTAACCAGCCCTGAGACCTCCTGAGACCTGAAACCCCCGTCTTAATTCATCTCCCCTCACCCACAGTGAACAGCTGGCCAGACAGCCATCATAGCCGGCTTGTTCATGCCCATGCTTCTGTCTGCCCTCAGGTCCACAGAGTAAGGCCCAGCGATGCCAGCCGAATGAGCATAACTGCCTAGGTACTGAGGTGTGTGTTCCCATGTCCCGCCTCTGCAATGGGGTCCAGGACTGCGTGGACGGCTCGGATGAGGGCCCCCACTGCCGAGGTAAGGACTTTTCCACTCTCTCCTGTCCTGTGTGGATGCAGCATGTTGTCAGCTCACTTTCCGAGGACTGTCCTGGCACCTTCAGTGGGGGTGAAGCCTTGTCCTGGTCCCTCGCCTAGATTTGCCTTCAGAGAGTGGATGAAATTGATGGGCCCCTTGGGCTTGGAGCTTGGTCAGACAGCCCTGCAGGCCGCAGCTGTGGGTCCTAGCCTGGGCCTGCCCCTCTGACTGTATGTTCTTGGACTAGTCACTACCTCTTGCAGGTCGCAGTTTTTCTTCTGTGAGATGAGAGATCGGCGTGTTCATACTTTTTTAAAATAGTATGATCTTTTCTTCAAAAGGTTTTCTGCATGAAGCCTGAGTGTGACCACAGAGAGGAGCAGAAGTGCTGTGATTAAAGCTGAGTGATCTAGGCTAGTCCACCTGCCGCCCCTACAGTTGCCCTAGAAGGCATCCCCCAGGAGCTGCAGGTCTTTGGGGGGCCCTGAAGCTGCCTTGGTCTGCCCCCTCCGCCCCCGACAGCCTGGACTATCTGAGGTGGTTGAGAGGAAAGCCATCCAGGCGGAGGCGGGAATGTCAGGATGTTAAGTCAGACGGCTTCCAGCCTGCGGCCCTGCTCACCAGCTGTGCAGTCGTTCTCCCGAAGGCCTCTGTGGGCCATGGAGAGTCCAGGTCACAGCGTGGGCAATTTGAGGAGTTGTGTCGGGGGAGGCAGAGCCTCAGCTCTGCATGTCAGGGAATAGTGACTTCTCCCTTCTCTTGTCCTTGGGGTCTGGGCCCGCAGCAAGAGGCTGGCTTTGAGAAGCCATAAGCGTGGCCCAAGGGGAGGGGCTGTGCTTGGGTGTGGGGGCAGTGTCCTGTGCTGTGTGCCCGAGAAAACATCTGCCTGTGGGAGGGGACTCGTCTGGATCCTGTTCACTAGGAGCAGGGAGGATGGAGCAAGGGAGTTTGTGGAAGATTTTCCTCCCTTCCTTTGGCTGATTTTGCATGTTTTCATCTGAAGCTCCTGGGATGGGATGCAGAATGCGGGCCCACAGCTGACTTAAATGACCATGCATACCCCTTCTTATCAGGTGGTGCATGTTCAAGCTTGCTTCCTTTTGAGTACCTTTATGGTCTCTAAAACAACACAAAACCTCAAAAACCTCAGGTCTGAACTTCCTTCTCTGATGTTATAGAAACTGGCCTCCTTATCCCCTCATTCTATACCCGAAAAGATTCTCTTTTCTAGGTTTTCCAGAGGAAATGATATTTCCCCCCTGTGTGGAGTTAGGCTGGGCAGGCAGCACATATGGGCTCTCGGGTAGAAGTGGGGAGGAGGAAGAATAGCTGAGGGCCTGGCCCCCCATCCCAACTCTTCCTGGCAGGCTTAGTGCCTCTAAACGTCTTAGCATCTTGGGCGGCTCTCTCTCCTAGGTGGGGGTGGAGGGGGAAGCCAGGGTGTGAGGCCACTGGACAAAGGGGTCTTTGTGGCCAGGCCGCCTGGCCCCACGCAAGGCCATTAACTGGGTCGCTGGTCTGGGGGGGCAACTGCTCTCCCACCTCTCCCCCCTCCTGTCTCATTCCCTTCTGTCTCCCCTGTGGAAGTGGGTCAGTGGCAGGAGAAAGATTAGAAAAGAATCCAGAGGGAACCAGTTTTGCTCCTCCTTCCCATCCTCTACCTGGGCCGTAGGCCTTCTCTCTGAGGCCTCTAGGTCTCTGAGGATGGGTTAAAGGGGTGCTGCCAGGCCAGAGCTGGGATCCTGTGGGGACAGACACGATTCCATGCCCACCCTTCAGGCTCAGCTGAAACTAACATGGTAATCCCCAGGCAGTGCAAACGAGAGGCATATGAAAGGGATAAGACTCACCGGTCCCTCTTCCTGTTGACCCCAACAAAGTATCAGAACCCCTCTCCACGGGGACAGAGGTAGTCCAGAGCAGCCAGAACAGGGACATGTGGGTTCTAAGCTATCACTGGCTGTGTGACCTTGGGCTTGTCTTATAGCCTCTCTAGGCTTCCGTTTCCTTTCTTGTGAAATATGGTAGATGCTTCCTAAGGCCCCTTCCATCTCTGACACTGCAGCCCTTAGAAGTGGTTTCTGGGCCGGGCCTGGTGGCTCACTCCTGTAATCCCAGCGCTTTGGGAGGCCAAGGCAGGTGAATGACCTGAGGTCAGGAGTTCAAGACCAACCTGGCTAACATGGTGAAACCCCGTGTCTACTAAAAATACAAAAAAAATTAGCCAGGCATGGTGGCACATGCCTGTAATTCAGCTACCTGGGAGGCTGAGGCAGGAGAATCGCTTGGACCTGGGAGGTGGAGGTTGCAGTGAGAGACGAGATTGCGCCATTGCACTCCAGCTTGGACAAAACTTGGAGTGAAACTCCATCTCAAAAAAAAAAAAAATTGGTTTCTGAAGGTTGACTGGAGTTGGGGGAAGGTTGTGTCCTGTGTGCGGCTTCCACATCTGGCAGCCTGAATGTGTGTTTCTCCTGCCCCCATACAGAGCTCCGAGGCAACTGCTCTCGTCTGGGCTGCCAGCACCATTGTGTCCCCACACTCGATGGGCCCACCTGCTACTGCAACAGCAGCTTTCAGCTTCAGGCAGACGGCAAGACCTGTAAAGGTATGTGAGTGCATGTGCCTGTGTGCACGTGTGTGTGCCAGGAGCCCGGCGAGGTGGGCAGAGAGGGGCCGGGGGCCTGGCTGGAATAAGAGAAACTAGAACAAAGGTACAAGGGAGGGGGCGCCACCACTCCAGGGCATGACTGTGAGCTCTAACCATTCACTTCCACCAGACTTTTAAAAATTCACCTTAAAATTATAGCTTTTATGTAAATTTTTCTGTTGTAAAAAATTAAAGCATTAACAGATAAAACCAAAGTCCCCTTTGACAAATCCCTCTCAATTCTGTTCCCTTTCCCTTCTCCCTGGAGTTCAACTCTGTTATCAGCTTTCTCTCTCTCTTTCAGGCCCCTTTTTTGCATTTGTCTGTGCATATTCACAAAAAATCTAATTGGAAGTGCTGCTTGTGTGTGTGTGTGTGTGTGTGTGTGTGTGTGTGTGTGTGTGTGTGTTTTGAGATGAAGTTTCATTCTTGTTACCCAGGCTGGAGTGCAATGGTGCGATCTCGGCTCACTGCAACCTCCGCCTCCTGGGTTCAAGCAGTTCTCCTGCCTCAGCCTCCCAAGTAGCTGGAATTACAGGCATGTGCCACCACGCCCGGGTAATTTCATATTTTTATTAGAGATGGGGTTTCACCATGTTGGTCAGGCTGGTCTCGAACTCCTGACCTCAGGTGATCTGCCCACCTCAGCCTCCAAAAGTGCTGGGATTTCAGGTGTGAGCCACTGCGCCCAGCCGTGTGTGCTCTTTTTCATGTAGTGATACTTTACTGTATGTATTGTTTTCGATGTTTTTCACTCATCAGTATGTTCCACATTTTTTTTCTGTGTTAGTATGTAAAGATCTACATCATTCTTTTAGAAACCACTATGATGTATGACTTTTACCACAGTTTACTTGGCCACCTCCTTCTCGATGAGTAAGATGTTCCTAATTTTTCGCTGCTACAAGCAGTGCAAACTTTTCTGTTTTAAATTTGCCTCCCTTGGGTCTTTGCACACATGCCAACTTCTCAGTGAAGCTGTCCTCTAGACCCCTCTAAAATCACACCCCTGCCGTCTGCATTCTCTATCAATGTTCCATTGCACTAGCACCTCTAATATACACTTTGTTTCATTTGTTATAGTAACTATTTCATTTATTGTCTGAATATAAGTTTCATGAGGACAGGAATGTGGGTCTATTTTAAGGTTCACTGATGTACCCCTGGCACTTGCCCCATAGTGGGGACTCAATAATCTTCCCTACATCAATAAATGACATGTGCATATGCGTTTCCTTAGAGTGGATTCCAAGACTGGACTTGCTGGGTGATAAGGTTTGCACATTTCATGCTGTAATAGATTCTGCCGAACTGTCCTTCAAGGTAGCTATAAGGATGGACACATTGGTCATGTCTGATGGGCACTCACTTCTCTGCCCTTGTCACACTGGAAATGACCACATTCTTGTCCTTTCCCTGGCAGATTTTGATGAGTGCTCAGTGTACGGCACCTGCAGTCAGCTATGCACCAACACAGACGGCTCCTTCACGTGTGGCTGTGTCGAAGGCTATCTGCTGCAGCCGGATAACCGATCCTGCAAGGCCAAGAATGGTGGGTGGGGTTGCCTATGGCCACAGTGCTAACTAAGCCCTCTCAATGCTCTTCCATGGTGAGTGGTGGCCTGAGAGGTGGCCCTAGAGCCCCGGCTGCACTGACTCTTCTCTTCCACATCCCCAGAGCCAGTAGACCGGCCCCCTGTGCTGTTGATAGCCAACTCCCAGAACATCTTGGCTACATACCTGAGTGGGGCCCAGGTGTCTACCATCACACCTACGAGCACGCGGCAGACCACAGCCATGGACTTCAGCTACGCCAACGAGACCGTATGCTGGGTGCATGTCGGGGACAGTGCTGCCCAGACGCAGCTCAAGTGTGCCCGCATGCCTGGCCTAAAGGGCTTTGTGGATGAGCACACCATCAACATCTCCCTCAGTCTGCACCGTGAGTCACCTGCTCTCAGCTCGGAGGGCCGGGGAGGGCAGGGGAGATGGGTAAGGTGGATCCTGTCTGCAGCAGAGGCAGGGAGTTAGGATGGCTCCTGTCTGGGGCAGGAGAAGCAGGAGACTGGATCCAATGACGCATGTTTTAGGCAGGGACAGAGCCATTGCCATGCTTCCTCCCCGCTCCCTGAGCAAGAGTCTGGATGGCTCCTGCATTTCTGGCCCAGGGCTGAGGGGGCAATGACTGGTCAATCTCCAGAAACCAGGGACTGTCCCTTCTCTGAGAGGGAGCTGTGGACTAGACCTTAGAGGGACTTTCCAGTGCAGTGGGAGCCAAGGCTAGGGAAAGAAGGAGCAGAAGCCTAAGGCGCCCTGTTAGGCTGCTGCTGAGGATGAAGAAGCCGGGGCCCGGCTGCTCTGTCGCCATGGGCCATGGTTTCCCCCAGGGTCACTGCCAGTGGACTCTCTGCTGCTATCGGAGAGGGCAGTCCTGAGGTTATTTCTCTGTGGCTTTGTGGCAGTGAATGAGACTGGGAGAGGAGCCTGAGCCACATGAGCATTTTAGAATTTCCTGGATGCTTCCATTCAGGCCGCTCCCTAGGCGACACTTTGCTGTCCTAGTTGTGGAAGAAGGGGTGTCACAGGAAGGGGTGTGAGCATAGCTGGGTGTAGACCCACTGCCGGGAACAGCCCTGCCCATCTCAGATGCTGTTACACCAGCAGCCTTAGTAAAGTCAACATTCGGCAGCATCACATTTCCAACAAAATGCACCACAGAGCTGAGAGGAAGAATCTGGCCTGTGGTTGAGCTGACCCCCTGAGAGAGAATAACTTGATCTGTGACTTTTAGTAAACCAGAATTCCCATCTCTGCCTTGGTTTCCTAATCCGCATAATGGGTTTGAGTTTGTCTGTCCAGATCAGATTAACTGGAGTGAAAGCCAGTAGTAGAACAGCACGCTTTGAAGTTGAGGATTGTGAGCCTTGGGCCTCTCAGGAAGATCTTCGGGTTTCTTTATTTGGCTCTTGTGATGAAAACAAAGAACCCAGGAGGTTACAAGGGATTCATTCCGGGAGAGAGAAAGGGGCCTCCCCGGGATGGTGGAGAGCAGGGCTTCTTCTGGGAGTCTCACTCTCTGTGGCCTCAGCGTGAGGTTCACATTGCGGCCTCTGGCTCCTCCAGGGCATTCCTGCTAGCGTCCTTGGGCTGTTGGTGTCCACAACTCACCGGTGATCAGACATGCGTCGTCCTTGGGGTGCTGGGCTGGGGGCTGGTAAGCCTGGTTGACTGATCTCTTGATGAGTGGGCAGCTCAGAGAACCCCATGGGTGATAGGGTGGGATTGGCGCTAGACCTTATACAGCTGCCCTACCCCTGTTCCTTGTCCACTGCCCTACTCAACAGGGCTGTCTGGGCAGACAGCCCGTCAGTTCCCTCCCCGGCCCTGCATTAGTGCCACACAGTGGGCCGTGGGTAGGTGGCTGTGGGGTGCCCTGGAGGGAACCTTCTCAATTTATACTCTGGGCTGGTTTCCTTATCTGACTTCCTCCCCAAGAGAAGCTGGTATCCCTCCCTTGGCAAACAGATTGGCCTTGCCTCCCAGGCTGCGAGATTCATTGGGCCCCTCAGGGGCAGAGTCCAGGAGGCTAGAAGAGTCCAAAGGGAAATGCTTGTGGGGTAAATGAGTGGGTTTCTCTTGTCCCAGCTTCTGTCTCTTCCTCCCTGCCCGCGCCCTGCTCCACACCCCTGCCGCCTGGATGTCTGGCTGTCACCCTGAGGATGGTTGTTTTGCTCTCTCCCACAAACTAATTATGGGTCCCGAGCTGAGGATGTCGGTGTCTCTCCCCTGGTCCCCTCCCCCTACCCTGTTCCCTGGTCATCCCCCTCCCCAGGAGACGCTGACTGGCCTACCCTGGTGTGTGGGATGGCTGGTCCCAGGAACTCACCTGCACAGTGGCTGCTGGCCTGTAATTAGCTCCCCAAGGAGGATGAAGAAGAAAGGCTGCAGCTTTCTCCTGTTTTCACTCTGCCCTCTGGGGTAGCCCTCCCTGCAAACCTCCCATTCTGTGCTGTGACTGTGACCTCCGTTGGACCCCTGGTGCTGAGCCTCATGCAGGAGGGGTGCACACAGAGTGAGGAGTCTCACAATTGAGGAGTGTTGAAGCCAGCGAGGCCAGCCCGCTGGTGCAGGCAGAAGGGGGAGCCTGCCCCAGAGAAAGCTCTGGAAGCAGAAATAGAATAGAAAGAAGGAAGGAGGCCAGGAAGTGAGCCTGGTTCACATGGGTCCTGGGCCATGTGAGTCAGACCTCTGGTGGAATCCTGAGAGCCCCTGAGCCCCTCCGAGACCCTGCAGTGTGTGCACATTCTGCTCAATGAGGCCAGGGCTGCAGACCCTCCTGCCCCAGGCCCAGTATCGTCCCCCTGGATTGGGGTGGGTCATCTCTTTTCCTCCCACCTGAGGTGACCTCCCAGGACCCACCCTCCCCTTTGCCACTGGCCCAGTGGTTTGGGGAGGTCTATGAGGCTTGAATTCCAAGACTGGAGAACTTGATGGTGATAGCCCGAAGAGAAGGGAAGACCCTTGGCCAGCACCAAGAGCAGCCTGGTTTTCACTACTGCTTCCCCAAAGGGCTATCCATTGATTTGATTCTAGGTGGTACCTGGACAAGCTTTTTTTTTTTTTTTTAATCTGTTATAGTTACATTTTTATTTGATATGCATTAGGAAACTCCTATAACTAGCACTTCGAATCTGTTACTTGATCAATTGTTCAGGATGCAGTGAAATAAGCAAAGTGAGTTAATTGAAATAACTGGTAATAAACAATAGCACAAGCTGTACATAAGCATGGCAGACATTTTGGAAGTAATACACAAAAGACCAAAGTTCTGGAAATTGAGGCCCAGAGGGATCAGCAGGCCCAGTAGTCCCTGAGCCAGGAACCAGCCTGCACACTCTCACCCCCACCTCTGACCAGTCTTTCAGAGAACCTCCAGCTACATCCAGCCTCCCGCCAGGTTGTCCCTGGACATGGCTGGGTGGTGCAGTCTACCGACCCCAGCCCAGCCCAGCCCTGCCTTTCCTAAGCTGAGCTCCTCTGGTCTGTATTCCCTTCAGCTTGGAGGATGCTGTCACTGTAGAAAGAATGAGGCAGAGTGCGGGAGTGGGGCCCTGGGAACGTGTGTGTGCGGTAAGGGAAGGTTCTGAGGTTGTAAATGGAGGCCTTGAAGGAAGTCAGGTTTGCTGAAGTCACTCAGGAGTTTGGACTGTATGTGAAAGGATGGTCTGGAGGGGCTCTCAGGGGTCTCAGGGTTTCCCTCCCTGCACCACGCTGCGTGGGGAAGAAGGAGGTGGCCAGGGAGCCCAGCAAAGGCTCCCTACGCTGCAGGCAGCAAGGTTGCGAAATGGGTCCCCAGGTCCAGCTGGCCAACTTCAGTTTTTCCTTCCTCTCTCTTTCTTTTATTTATTTTTTTAGTGTGTGTGTTTTTGAAATCACAACAGGAAATGGGGTAGAGATTTGTCTAGAGGGGAGGCAAAGAAGGGGCATACAGCAGCCCCTCTGAGTCTGTGATGAACTGGCTGCTGCCGCTGCAGGGGGTGCTACCTCCCCAGTGTGCTGGGCACCCCCAGGCCCTCTCAGCCTCCCACCCTCGCCTACAGAGCACTTCCAGACTTCATATGTGAAAGCTCACCGTGCCTTCCTTCGCCTTTCTGACCCACGGGATGCCAGGCTGTTTGGGAGGGGGTGGCCCTAGCCACCCCTTTTTGGCTTTGGGCCCCCTGCATCCTGGCACTTTTGCTTCCCATTCCTGTTCTGAGTTTCCTAATCGTTTAACAGCTCACTCTTGCTCCTCCCCTCTCCTGGCCAGGGCCAGCCCTGTGTCTCCCGGCCAGGGCCAGCCCTGTGTCTCCTCCCCCGCTGTCTCCTTGAAGTTGCCTCTTCACCCAGCCTGCTCCCAGCACTCCCCTCGCTGTTTTCAAGCCAAAGGAAGTAACTTAAGCAAGAGATGTATTTTAGAGCCCGGCAAGGATTTCTCAATACAGGGAAGACCCTAAGATGGGCTGAGCAGAATCCAGGCGTCATCCCTGGGATCTAGGTCGAAATGCCTCTTGGGGACCTGAGCCAGGCAGGCGAAGGTAGCAGGACGTAACCTCAGGCTGGAATGACAGGCAGGAGCGGGAAGGGAGCCCAGGGGAAAGAGGTGACACAGCGCGGCTAAGCTCCAGACTGGCTGGTAGAAGAAGGAAGAGCTGAAGTTGGGACCCAGCAGGAAACAAGGAGCATGAGGCCACGTCGTTTAGCAGAGCTTCTCCCAGGCTCACCGCGAGGTCTCCTTCCCACCTTCGAAGTCCTCAGACTCTCCACCATCTCCCCAGCCCCAGGGGGAGATCCCTGGGTGGGATTACTAGACGGACTATCCTCTCCCACTGCCTTGGAGTGTCCCAAGGCCAGAGAGGGAGGATCCTGGCAGTAGAAGAGAGGGGGAAAATGAAGTCCCAGCTCTAGAACAACAGAGTGAGGACTCAGTATTCAATAAATATTTGTTCAACAGATCAATACATGTGTGTCAGGCACTGGGGACAGAGACAAAAGGCAGCTCCCTGCCCTTACGGTGTTTGTGGTCAAGTGAAGAGGCCGTGATCAAAAAAGCTCCAGAGGCCTATAGAGCCTGTAACAGGAAAACTTCCTTTTTTTTTTTTTTTTTTTTCTTGACAGAGTCTCTCTCTTGTTGCCCAGGTTGGAGTGCAGTGGTGCCATCTCAGCTCACTGCAACCTCTGCCTCCTGGGTTCTAGCTATTCTCCTGTCTCAGCCTCCCAAGTAGCTGGGATTACAGGCACCTGCCACCATGCCCAGCTAATTTTTGTACCTTTTTTTAGTAGAGATAGGGTTTTACCATGTTGGCTAGGCTGGTCTCGAACTCCTGACCTCAGGTGATCTGCCTGCCTCAGCCTCCCAAAGTGCTGGGATTACACGTATGAGCCACCACACCTGGCCAAAGCTTCCTTCTAATAGGGCAAGCTTCCTTCTGGGAGCCTGAGCCAAGTCTTGACAAATAGTAGGTGTTAGCCCCAAATGGCTCATCTGGAGGGCCTGCCCAGAGTCAGGAGGCCAGAGGGCTCTGGTTGGAGGCCCAGAGGGTGACTTGATGGAAAAGGTGGGAAAGGATGGGCTTGGAGGGGGGAGGACATGGTGTGAATGGCAGCCCCCACGTGGGGAGTGTCGATCATGTGGCAGGCCCCATGCGAAGTGCTGTTAGTGCACCAACCAGTTTTACAGATGAGGAAATCGAGACTCAGAGGTAATAAGTAACTTGTCCATAGCCTCAGTTAGAAGATGATGAAACCAGAATTCAAACTCAGGCTGTGAGTGTCTAGGGCCCAGGTGGGCCCAGGGCAGAGCAGAATGATAGGAGGAGAGCTGGGGAGGCTCCTGGAACAAGGGCCAGAATCTAATGTGCTCGATGGGGATGTGTTAGAGGTCCAGGGACCCCTTTGGGTGCGTATACACTCTTTGGGTATGTAGATGTGTTGGGCGACATTTTCTCAGGGCATAAGGCCGTCTTCCTTCCTTCTTATTTCCTTATTTTAGAGCAGGTGACTAGAATCCTGCAGCTGAAGCTAGAGTCTTCTTGGGCATGAGGTGGGGCCCATGTGTTTGGGAAAGCAGCCACTCTGTGCGAAAATGGCTCTTGAACAATAGGAGTGATGGAGAAGTTGAGAAAAGCTGGAGTTGTAGTGAATGCAGATGCTGAGCAGTGGGATGGGGTGCAAGGACACCAGGTCTATTCTGGGGCCTGGAACTGAAAGTCCTCTGTGACATCATGGGCAGCTGTGGTCTCTCATCTGACTCCTACAACCCTTCCCTGCTTCCTAGCCTCCCTCTTCATGCTGGAATCCTCCACCCCTTTGCCCCTAGACCACCCCCAACTCCTCCCACAACACATCCTCCTTCCCTCCCCTTGGGTTTATTTGAGATTTTCCTGTCCTCAGGATTTGCACCCTTTGGCCAGAGCCCCTTCAGAAGGTCCACTAAGGTGGGTTGGCCCTTAGAAGGTGGGGCCACAAAGGGACAGCTCCCCGCTTGATGGGTGGAGCCAGAATGCTCAGGACCTCTAGGCTGAAACCTAGGACACCAACTGGACCCCAACTCATATGACAGAGAGGGATGGCCCAGATACTGCCTATAGGGAAGCTCTGGAGGAGGTTCCTCCTCCCAATTTGAGCCCATCTCTCTACCCTGGCCTTGGCGTGGTGGCCAGGTGTATGTGTGTGTGGTGATTGTGTATGCATGTGCGGGTGTGCATGTGTGTGTGTGTGTGAGAGAGAGAGAGAGATTGTGTCTGCATGTGCATGTGTGTGTGATTATGCATGTGCGTGCGTGTGTGTGTGTGTGTGTGTGTGTGGTGGGGCAGGCAGAGGAATCTCAACTTTAGAAGAGAGGAAAATGATGTGGTGAGGGGGGTTGGATAACAAAGGATTTTTGCTTGCAACTAATAGTCTCCAGCTGCAAAAATACCAAAAGGGAGGCCAGGCAGGCTGGGGACTCCAGTTCTTGCCAACTCCTCACCGGCCTGCTGAGTGGGGCCCTGCCTGGCCTTTGGGGAGGTGGAAGGGAGACCGGCCAAGGGTAAATATCTGAGAACAGGGATGATCTCTCTGCCTTCCTTCCCAGAACTGGGAGGGAATGCAGGCCACATCCTGGGGCTGAGGGAGCTGAATGTGGAGCTGCACCTGGGATGGGGGCATCAGATCTCTGCAGGTTTTCTTCCTCCTCCCTCTTGCCAAGAGAAGGGTGGATGCGGGGAGCAAGGGCAGGGTATTGCCAGCCCTAGGGCTGGGCAGTGACTCAGGGAAGCCTCAGGAAGTCAGAGAGAAGGCTGGCTGTAGCTGCGCCAGCTGGTGCTGGGAAAACAGCTTTCACTGATGAAGTTCATATACATGCCAGCAGCCCCCAGACCCCTGCTGTGCCCACCAAGTAAAGGGCATGCAGCCCTGTTTGACTTCCAGCCACCCTGCTGGCTGCCAGGGGCTGCAGGCAGGTCCCCCGCTTTGGGACTTGGATTTCCTTTGGAGGCAGCCCAGCGGCATTCATTTTAATCTGTTTTCTCTGTGGTTGCAGCGTGTG